ATCTCGTTTACGGTAGACTTATAATACTACCGGCGACGGGCAGCAGTGTCAAAGATGCGAGGCATACCAAATAACACAAATTCCCCCTACAACGGAAGAGGCCTTGTACGGGATAAAGAAGAAAAATAAACCTACAACCACAGCTTAGGGACCTTACAAATATACAAATATATACAATAATTTTGGACATTATAATACTCATTATCATTTATTAATATTATGTGCACACGTATAAGTTAAAAACATTTATTGAACAAGATCATTTTTATTAATACAAAAAAAAAAAATAAAAACAGGTTTATAAGTGTTGCACTGCCAAATGTTTTCGTGATACTTTCTTCTTATAATTTTTCGATTGTTAAATTTAATTATGTAGTGTATTAGCATTCTGATTAACAATTTTATCAAAAAGAAATTGGGGAAACATAAGCATGGCCGTTATTTGGAATTATGACAACATTTCTTCAAATTTCAAGATCACATGTGAATGGAATGTTTCCAATTGATGGTAGGAAATCCATCCGAAAATTTCGAAACTAAATGGTGATTGGATATATAGTTCAGTGTGGGAGTGTCTGTATTCATTAAAATCATGCAAGTTGGTGTGGGCGATTCATTGAACATTTTTTTTTCTAAATGTGAATTTATAATCTTTGACAAGCGAATATTAAAATTAGACTTTTACAAGTAGTAACATTTTAAAAGTAGTTAGTCGATATGCAATGGTGTCTGAAGTTGGTGCTACGACATAGTGTTTAGAAGTAAGAGCCACGGCTTCAGAACTATTATAGAGAAATTATGTTATCCTTTTTTGTTTTATGAAGACGGTTTTTACTCGTACTTCTTAATATAAAAGATTAGTAATAACTATTGCTCCTCAAAATGATATTTGACCTCAATATAAAACATATCCTATAAATGCTGTAGTTATTAAAAAAATAAATAATAAATCGTACAATTCAGGTATATTTTAAATTAAATGATTCATAGTAAATTCCTCTCCAATGTGTAATCCTGATTTTTTGATCCTTTTAAATGGACTAAGGAATATTATTAGCCAGAATGTTGACTAAATAGTTAGTTAAGAACCTTAAAAGCTTCACCTTCACTTATTTATCTGTCCTGTGCGTGGTAGAGCCATGCTGCAGCTATATTAGTAGTATAGTTGTAGCACGAATGGGTCGGCGAGACCGGGGAATGACCACGCTCTCACAGAATATCAGCGTAAAATGGCAGCTTGACACTGCTGTGTTTCGTATGGTGAGTGTAGAGAACCGGAGACCCTTTTTACTAGAAAAGAGGAATTTCATTTCGGTCCTCATGGGTGACGACGCATCTGCATTTTGATTCTTTGTTGAGGATATATGTAGATGTCTATGGGTCACAGTAACCATCAGGTGGACTGTAAACCCGTTTGTCACCCTATCCTCTAAAAACTCCTAAGGAGTGAAAATATTTCTAGGAAAGTAGATAGGACATTCCTGTATGAGACTTCATCTACGAGTACTTATTACAAAAAGGACCATTAAAAACCGGTTAAAATTGACGAATATATCGCGTGACATAAAAAAAGAACTCTAATTGAGAACCTACTACTTTTTTAAATTTGCAAAAATAAAACCCTGCGTTCTTGAGTGATACATGTTTTGGTAAGCCAGCATTTCTGAAAAAAGGAATATTGTTGTTTGTTCGTGTCTGATTGCTTTGTGATTTCCCCCGAGTCCGCAATAAGCTGTGCCATGCATACATTGCAATTTTTTTACTGTCAGAAACATTCTCGGTCATGCGCACAACCAATTGAAGTTTCATCGTTATCAGATGAATGGTATAGGAACGCATAAAAACAAACAAACAAACTAATAAATATAATTTTTTGTCAGTAAGATTCGCGGACGCGCACACAACAATAACTCATCAAAGTTTATTTAGATATTAATTATTTAGACAATTGCTATATATAGCTTATACGGGATAAACAAAGTTCATAATATCTTTAAAAGTATCTACATCTTTGAAATAAAGATAATAGCAAGTCGCTGAATTTATTGCTTCAATTCGAATCTAACACTGAGAAGACTGTAAATGGAAGTAAATGCGATAAAAACTATATAAAGAGTATCGCAAACAGTTTCATTCAGTAAATTCAATCTGTGTAGGCCCACATTTGATCGTTGCAAACTGTCTAAGAAAAGAAAGCAATAAGTCGAGCTGACAATTGCCTTGTTTATTTAGGGCCGTATTGGAAGAAGGAATCAGATGGCGATCCCCTGGGGTGCAATAAGCTTAATCCCTCAGGCGATGACAGAGAAACATTGTTAGTCTGAAGCGAACTTTTATATCTGTATAAATAAAATGTTAGAGGTTTGCAGTTCCGCGCGCATCACGGAAAAACTACTGGAGAGATTTCAATTAGGTTTTCTAAATTTTGTTTTTTAGACACTTGGCCATTATCTAAAAAAAAGCAATATCTTCGTTTAATTTAAACTTATTAAGGTTTTAAGAAACTACGATGTTTATAAGCACTATGTGTTCAGTGATGTATGTAAGCAACTCTGAAGAAGTCGCGGGTATCATCTAGTACAGTATAAAATTAATAATTCAGTTATATTATGGTACTGTTGATATAAAAATGTGGTTCAGCATTAGGTTTTTTAGGTCTTAGCTGAGCTGAGGCCTTATTTTTTACAAAAAGTAGATGTACATATTTTGAAAGACTCGGTGCAGAAAGAAACAGACGTGTTAGTGGATAGTTGGTGTTCGTTTCTGCTTACTATACAAAATACAGCACCTTAATAAAGTCTTGAATGTCTAACGCGGTGTAGTGTAAAATAGTAACTCCCATATCTGGAGCGTGTTGGAAGATTCAACGGTGGGAAATGAAACAGGGATGAGCAACAGATCATTTTGATAACACCTTAAAATAATAGAAAACCGTTGAGCGTGTCAACTACATTACGAGGCAAGGTATGGGTTCTATGTTCAGCAGTGGACTTTCCATCCATCTATCCATGTATAACAGGATGGATAGATGGATGAAATGAAACATCCAATCGCAGTTTTTAATATTCTGAGTTGTTTTCAGGAAGATACTACTCTATTTCAATTTCCCTTTGTTGCCTCTTATGAAATCCACGGGACGGGGGTAATGGATATTCTTAAATCGCCATTATACGGTACTTTTTCTTTTTTTTATAGGATAGGGTGACAAACGAGCACACAGTCCACCTGATGGTAAGTGCTTGCTGTGGCCCATACACATCTACATCTATCCTCTATTACAATTCAAAATGCAGATGCGTTGTCACCCGTGAAAACTAAGATGGAATGCCTCTTTCCAGTAAAAAGGGTCTCCGGATCTCTACACTCACCATACGAAACACAGCAATGTTAAGCTGCTATTTTATGCTGGTTTTCTGTGAGAGCATGGTCCTTCCCCGGTCGAGCCGACCCATTCGTGCTACAACTATATTACTAATATAGCTGCAGCATGGCTCTACCACGTATAAAAAACTTACTTTACTTTTCTTACAAAGCGGAAAATTTTCAGGTTTACGCACTTGCACACATTACATAATTCTGCATATTTCAACTATTGGATAGCTTATATATTGATGAGACCTGTACCGCGTATACACCACGGTACCACGGTACTGACTTTGATAGGCTATAATTAATGAATGAGTGATCGAATGATAATTACATTGAAGCTTAAAAAATATCAGAGATAATCTGATCTGCGGAATCACCTTACGTGTGTCCTAGTTAAAAACTTTTTTTTCATTAACAATTATATATTTTTAAAGTTGGTTGTTGGTGTCGTTAATATCTAATCATAATTGGTAGTTAATTTAAATCCAATCTATAGATGTTCAGTGCTTTTCTTGTACCAGTACATAAAAATTGCTTTACATTATCATCAATTTGAATGTCTGTGAGATGATAGTAGATAAAACCGGCATCAATCATCAACAATCTATGACGTGGATGAAGTGTGAGTGGAAAAGATAACAATGTGTATATTTAATTTACAAACCAAATTAATTTAGCTTTGGTAGTATACCTACTCTTAAGAACGAAATAAAGTTATAATTAAAGTAGCTTTCAAGTAGACCCAACTTTTTCAATATTACAAAAAATCCATATTATGCCTCTTTCAAGTTAGAATACGCTACTTATGATCATTTATACTATGAGTTCTGAATAGTTTATCACCGTCATCAGCAGTACAGATAGACTATAAACTATATATATGGATAACTGTTACACATTTACCACTCTTAAATTGAAAGGTTGTTTTGTAATCACCGCACAGATGAAGTGATGGAGTGACGGAGGTGAAAATGCCTAGTTTTACTGGACGGAAACCTGTCCAGTAGAACTAGGCATTTTCTAGGTTATTTCTGGCTAGGTAATTTTTTAAGAAAGTAATTTTTATACGATAAATAGGCATATTCAACGTATAATTTTATTGATTTTATCTAAAAAAAGTCCCGCTGGGTTTCTTGCTGGTTCTTCCCAGGACGGAAGTATTTTCTGAATTAAATATGATTCTATTCTATTTCCTTTTAGGTTAGTTGTTGAGTTGGTGTAAAATAATAAAAAAATATAACTATTGAACTTGGTAAGGTATTAAATATGATCAGGTTTTGTTCATAAACTTGGAATAGTATCATAAGGAAACGTTCAAAATGAATTCATTGGCATTGGTACTCGTAAATAAGGTTACGCGGACACTTCCAGTTGTTTTAATAAGTGACAAAGTGATGATCCGCGCAGGGCGGGCGGCGGTCGTAGGCGAGGGCGGCGCGCGCGCTACAGTCCACTTCCGTCTCCCGTAGCCGAAGCTTCATTCTGACCGATTTATTCTTATAAAAACTAACTGCAAACTCTGTTCGTTAAATGTTATAGAACTTTTTATGTACAAAAATGTTTCGTTCTAGTTGGAGTGTTTCTGTGGTCAGGACATAATTCATATTAACGCGAGTGCTTTATTAAATAAAATGGCGGAAAAACTGCAAGAATATCAGGGCATAACTGGCAGGTTGCATTGCGCTAAAGAACGGTATCGGGAACGATTGGTGCAGTGGAGAGAAGAACACCCTAGAGGTATTAGGCAAGTTATTAGAGAAACATTATTTGGTATCCCATCGTCTGATGATGCGCCAGAGCGAGTTACGCAAGATGGCGATGCAGGCGAATATAGCGATCTGTTTAGGTAAATAATTTATTATTTTTTTAATATTATCCATAACAATTATATGTTATATTTATTTAAAGTTTTAGTAATGGTAATAGTATCTGAAAATTTTAAGTGCTTTATTGTTATTTTAAATTTAAATAATTATTTATATAAACGATTCCAAGATCGGTACCACCTTCGTACCTATTTCTGCTATGAAACTGTAGTGCATTCACTGTTGTATTTCGGCTTAAAGTAACCCGTATGATTATAGGAATTTCATCTTCAGGGGTGATGGTTTTTGAAGAGGGTTGCAGGTGTCTATTGAAAAATATCAAATGTAACAGGAATTGGTCAGCAACATCTTCGTAATAACTCAACATAATAAAAAACTGCGGGTGCCTACCTGCCTACCAAGTGTGGCAACTACGGCGATTATCGTTACTACTAACTTATATTCAGTAGAGAACTATACTATACTAGAGTTTTAAAACTTTGAGTTCTGAATAAATTAATGAGTCTTTTATTACATATCAAAAGCCAGGGCTTGACAACAATCCTACCTGACGGTAAGCGGTGATAACGCCCTAGATGGTAAAACGTATTGTCTTAGCGTTACAAATCCTCTTCATTTACTTTCTTCTACTTTATTTAATTCATTACAGCTTATCAAAAGTTGACTGCTGAACATAGGCTTTTTTTTGCGCCCAGAAGCAATTAAAAAGGGCTACCCCGTAAACGCGAGGAGGTGGTGAATGCTTTATGCATACCACGACAGCCGGTCTGTCGTGGTTATGTGGGACTCACTGTGACTAACCTAACCTAACCACCCTAAGTGTACCCACTAAACACCACCTGTGGGACTGACATTGGCTTATTAGGCCTTTCTGCCGAATCGGAAGCCACTCTCTTTTAGGAAAAGGGGCGCAAGCGGCTACAAGCCGCTGAGGGGGAGCGTACTAAGGCAAATTTAAGAAGAGTCGGCCTGAGGTAGAGGTCGGTAGTTCAGGTCGTGAAAGTTTGTTTGGCGGGTCCGAAAGAGAGTTTCAGGGCCTGCGGACTCGATAGCGAGAGAGGAGTGGGGCTGTATAAGTAGCTGCCTCACGAATAAAATTATTGGAGTGAGGAACATAGGCCTGATATATAGATTGCCTCGAAAGGATGGAAATTGGCCTTGATTGCAGGCGGCCTCGCAACTGCAGTTTTTTATTCCGAAAAATGCTAGACTCATATCCTGTTTTAATTTCCCTCTGTCGCCTCTTACAACATGTATCATCTACACGGCTTTGTAAATACTTCAGAGAGAATAGGAAACTATTTTAAGAGGCACTCCATCTCAGGCCTCCTTTATTTGAAGTTGGTTGCAGGTGTCCATGTACTGCAGCAGCAACTTGACATTAAATGAACTGTCAGCACGTGAGCTGTCAGCTCGTTGGTCACTTCAGTTTAATAAAAAGACACGATAAATATAAACCAAATATTAAAATAATATCCATAATGTTTCTAAATTTAGGCGAAAAAGCCGAATGGAGTTAATGCGGATATCTGCAGCTGTAATGGGCATTGAGTTTTCCTATGCTGGAGAAACAGCTTTCGTCTCCCCAACGTTATTACAAATCGGAGTACCGCATCAGCAAATGACTTTAGTGTGGGCTTTATCACCCTTGATTGGTTTCTTCATGACGCCACTCCTCGGCTCACTAAGTGACAGATGCAACTCGAAGTTTGGAAGAAGAAGACCTTTCATTGTGCTAATGTCTATAGGTGTTTTGCTAGGTATGATAATGTCTTATTTTATATTAAGGTAGCTAGTTTAGCTTGACACTGTTATCAGACTTTGATTAGGCTTTAGAATAAGTATATTTACTACTGTAACTGTTCAAGGTCTTACAATGAATAAAGAATTTATTCAAAGAAATTCGGGCAAACAATAGCCACGTTAAATCATTTTGTAAAGATCAAATATTATTCAATAAGAACACATAAACAAACAAACAATGTACCCGAACAATTTGAAATGCATACATCCATCATCATATCCAATAAAGGCCTTCATAAGTCCACTGACGTAGCCCTACATATTTATTAGAGTGTGAGTGTATCCAAGAGTAAATTTTAATCGATACTATTCTGATGATATTCCGGACCTCAGTCTCTCAGCAACGCACCCAAGCACCTTAAAAACGTCATGGCTCCAGGTAATTATATCAACAATTCAGCTATGCACTATTTTCGTGCAACTTTAACTACTGATGCAGCGCACGCATGGAAGCTCTCAAGAGGCACTATTTTTTCGAGTTATGTGAAGAATATCATCATAAATTTTAGCCATAAGGTAGAGCCATGCTGCAGCTATATTAGTAGTATAGTTGTAGCACGAATGGGTCGGCTCGATCGGGGAAGGACCACGCTCTCACAGAATACCAGCGTAAAATTGCAGCTTAACACTGCTGTGTTTCGTATGGTGAGAGTAGAGAACCGGAGACCCTTTTTACTGGAAAAGAGGCATTCCATCTTAGTCCTCACGGGTGACAACGCATCTGCATTATGATTCGCAAACGAGGATAAATGTAGATGTTTATAGCAACCACTTACCATCAGGTGGACTGTGTGCTCGTTTGTCACCCTATCCTATAAAAAAAATATACGCATAATATATAGCCTATATCCATTCGCAATAATGTACCTTTCAAATTATGAAAGAATTTTTTAAATAGGTGCAGTGGTTTGAAAGATTATGTGGAGTGACATGTACACAAACTCATAAAGTATGCACTTTCCCTTTGTAATATTAAGTATAAATATTTTAACGTCATTAATTCTTTTTTTCAGTTACATAAAGAAATAAATTATTTAAATGTTTCAGGTCTTATTTTAGTGCCGAATGGAGAAGCAATTGGTTACGTTTTGGGTGACCAGGGTAATGGAAACAGAACTGAAGTCCCTTCGGTATTGGGGCCAAGAAGTTCGGCTTTAGATACAGCTGGAACCAATCATCATCCTTGGGGTGTATTTTTCACGGTCCTCGGAACGGTGTTCTTAGACTTTGACGCCGATGCGTGTCAAAGTCCCGCCAGGGCTTATCTACTTGACGTGACAGTTCCAGGTCAGTGTTATTTATCCAATTCTCGGTTCAGATGTTTGTTTTAAAAATTATTTAATCGTATGTGATTAGTTTTTATTGCTATTTGTTATATTTATAAATGACTCATAATCATCAATATAGGTACTACGCACTAGATTTCGCATTCCGAACATTGACTATGTTCAATTGAACTGTACTGCAATCCGTACATTAAACTAAATATGGCATAAATTGAAGATTTGTGAATTCCATAAGATAATTATTATTACATTTTATTTAGGAATAAGTTTTCTTAGATTAAAATAACAGTATTTTATATTAAATTCTTATATTTATTTTATATTAATTTCTTATTTTATATAAAATTAAAGTATTCGAGCATATGCGACTTTAGTATCTCCCGCGCATGCGCGAAGACATAGAGTAGCGCACAATTTTTGTTTGGCATAGCTTCTCTAGTACGTAGTACATATAACTCAATGTTGATAGTAGATATTACCGTACTCAAAATAAATTGAATAATCAATTTTCAAAATTAAAATTATTTACAACAGGTCCCCATACGATGGTAAATAAATTAAAATGTATAATAAAGTTCCAAATAAACTCCAAAATATGAAGAAATTAAAGTCATTCTTAACTGATAAAAGTTATTATAATTTAAGTGAAATATTTAAAGATGCGAATAAATAGTAAATGTATACATATCTAGATCTAGTAATGCTAAAAAATATGCTAATCAGTATTTATTAATAGTTAATATTAAGGATTTGGAATAAAACTACCCTCTTTTAAATTGCAATGCCACACTTGATGTATGATGTATTTCTTGTGATATGCACATTATAATAAATAAATAGACTAAAATAAATAAATATTCTAAAAACTTAATAAACGAGCAAAAACTTTAATCTTTTCACTAAATTATATAAGTAGAGTAAATTCTCAAGGCTTTCAATAAGATTGTTTCATCTCGTTACACCAGCAGTCTCTTTTAAGTCCTCAGCTGGACATAAACTTTATCAATATATGGCAGCTATGCCAGCTAAGTTTTTATATGGTTACATCTCACCTCACTAATATTCGAGGATTGCACTCAAATCTCAGCGCAGTGCATCGCCATATCAAGACTAAGAAGCCGCACTTACTTTTCTTGACGGAGACCCAAATTGAATGTCCATTGAATGCGTCGTTCTTTAACTATCTTGGATTCTCTTTGGAGCACAAATTCCATCTACCGGAGTCTGTGTGTACGTCCGAAATGACACATGCTTCCAGCGTTCAACTTTTCCGACAAAAGAAAAATGATGATAGTGACTTACTGAAAAACATATATTTGATTAGACTAATGACACAAATTTTGTTTACCAATGAATGGTATAATATTTTAGAGAAAACAAAGGCTGAACTGCAACGAATTCACCACGCTATGCAGGCGGATTGGTGAGTGCAGAGCTAGTACCCTCGCTTAATATGGAGTTTGTCATCACTAGTCTATTAAATTGCTGTTAAATAGGACAGGTGCCAAGGCCGCGTCACTTCGTTAGGCAACTTATATTAAAATAATTTATATAAATCAAAATTTCCTTTACTCCAATTCTCACAATGAAGATAAACATTTACGTATGTTACATAGTCATAAGCAAATTTTCTAAAGTGAACATGTATAAAATAACATATATATATATAACGTTCGAAAACGAGGGCAAATTTCGAGAATCAAGGAAGTGACACAACATTACTATTTAAAAATGTATTTATTGCTTTTCGAAGTATTCTCCGCGAAATTTGACACATTTTTCCATACGATAGAACCAATCATTGAAGCAACCATTACATTCGGAAATTGGAGTCTCCAAAATGGCCGTTTTGTAGGCGTCCATAGCTTCTTCAGGTGATGGAAATCTCTGTCCACGCAATTTATTCTTTATTTTAGGGAAAGTATAGAAATCATTAGGGCTTAGGTCGGGGCTGTACGGCGGATGGTCTAATAATTCTATGTTTTCTTGCTCTAAAAACTCTTTTGTTCTGTGTGCGGTGTGAGAACTCGCATTGTCGTGATGGAGGATGATGCGGCGGTTGCAGTTCTCTTTACGGAGTTCAGAAACGACCTGTGGCAAACAAATGCTAGCATACCATTCTGCATTAACCGTTCTTTGTCTCTCAAGAGGAATAGTCGTAACATGGCCGGTTTTGGAGACAAACGTGGTCACCATTTTTTTTGCAACATTCCGTGAACGAACAATTTTCGTTGGCTTTAACTCATTTTCGAACACCCAAACTCGTGACTGATTTTTTGTTTCGGGTTCGTACGCATATATCCAGGATTCGTCACGTGATACGATGTTGTATACAGCATTTGAGGATCCTGCGTGGAATCTTTCGAGAGTTCTGACGCACCAAGTAACGCGAGCCGCTTTTTGCTCTTCACAGAGCGAATGCGGTATCCAACGGGAAAACAACTTTTTTACACCTAATTGTTCATGCAAGATTATTTGACAACAGAGTCATTGAATGCTTCTCCAACTGTCGCCGAATCATTACTTAAACAGAATGTTAATACCTGTTTAAAAGAATTTAGATTTGAAAAAGTATTACCGCATAATATTGTAAAATACTTCAAATCCATTGATGTAAAGAAAACCGCAGATTTGTGGGGGATTTCCGTTACAGTAATTGCGTCCATAATAGATTTAATTGCACCTCATCTTGCTATTATTTTTAATACTTGTATCGATTCTGGTGTGTTTCCTGATTTAATGAAGTATAGTAAAGTAATACCTTTATTTAAATCTGGTAGTACATTGGACCCCGCTAATTATAGACCTATTTCTGTACTACCAACTCTCAGTAAAATTTTTGAAAAAATAATTTTGGATCAATTGTTAATTTTTTTTAATACAAATAAATTACTTCATAAAAATCAATTTGGTTTTACAAGGGGTCGCTCGACGTCTGACGCCGGTGTTGAGCTTATGAAATATATTTTTAATGCCTGGGAGAATTCACAAGATGCCTTAGGTATTTTCTGTGACCTTTCCAAGGCTTTCGATTGTGTTCATCATAATACATTAATCAGGAAACTACAACATTACGGTGTAAAAAATTTGGCGCTTAAACTTATTACTTCATATTTAAGTAACAGAACTCAAAAAGTCGTCATTAATGGTAAATGTTCCTCCGGATCGGTAGTATCAATGGGCGTTCCTCAGGGCTCGATTCTTGGCCCATTCCTGTTCTTAATCTATATTAATGACTTACCTTATCTTGTAGGGGACAATCACGATATAGTATTATTTGCTGACGATACCTCTTTGATTTTCAAACTGAAACGGCAGTCAATTAAATATGACGATGTAAATAATGCTCTATCGAAACTAGTACATTGGTTTAACGCCAACAATTTGCTCTTAAACGGCTACAAGACAAAATGTATTAAATTTACAATACCTAATGTAAAACATTCGAAAACCAATGTGCTCTTAAATGGGGAGGAGTTGAGTCTTGTGGATACCACTGTTTTTCTGGGTATTACTATTGACGCGAAACTTCAATGGGGCCCCCATATATCTAAATTAGCAAGCAGACTTCGTTCTGCAGCATATGCTGTAAGAAAGATTAGAAGTCTCACAGATGTTGAGACAGCTAGGTTAGTGTATTTTAGTTACTTTCATAGCGTAATGTCTTATGGAATTTTGCTATGGGGTAATGCGACTGATATTGAAGCTATATTTGTTTTGTAAAAGAGAGCCGTACGGGCGATTTATAATCTAAATTGTAAAGAGTCCCTTAGAGAAAAATTTAAAGAAATAAACATATTAACTTTGGCATCGCAATATATTTGTGAAAATGTAATGTATGTACATAAAAACATAAATAGCTTTAATAAGAATAAGGATGTTCATACCTTAAACACTAGGAACAAACATAAGCTTGTAATGCCACTTACAAGACTCCACAGAATTAGTAATTCATTTATGGGGCAATGTATACGCTTTTACAACAGAATCCCAGAACATGTTCAAAGTTTGTCAATAAACAAGTTTAAAAGTTTTATTAAAGAAAAACTGTACAAAAAGGGTTATTATAATATCAAGGAATACATGAATGAAAATAACCCCTGGGAATAAGGTGATCGCCACCATGCTGGTTCTATGAAAATTCATTTAAAATTGTATAATCAAAATTATTGTTAAGTGAAATTATGTTTAAAAAAAAGGTCCCGCTGGGTTTCTTGCTGGTTCTTCCCAGGACAGAGGTATTTTCCGAACCAGTGGTAAATAAAATAATGACTTTCAATAAGTATTATGTAATAATCCATATTGAATAAAAATCATTCTATTGTATTCTATTCTATTTTGTATTTGACTCATGCCAATGTCTAAAGTTGCCTGAATTTCGCGGTATGTCACATGTCGATCTTCCTCAATCAGCTTACGCACAGCATCAACGTTTTCTTGGGTGACTGCAGTTTTTGGACGACCTTGACGGGGATCATCACTGAGCTTGATACGTCCACGTTGAAATTCAGCAAACCAGCGATAAATTTTGGTTTTAAATGGGGCTTCATCATCAAATGCAGAAATCATCCAGTCAACACACTGCTTTTGTGTTAAACCACTTCGAAAGTCATAATAAATCATTGCTCTTGAATTTTCTCGAGTCAATTCCATTTTCTCAACGACTAAACAAGTTTGACAAAACCTTGTGACAAGACCGAGAATCTTTTTTTAAATAAATAAATGGTATTCGATTTTTAAAACCAAGAACTTTTCAATTAAAAAGATTTTAATATGACAGGAACAGTGGAAATATTCCAGTCCAGATACTATTAGTGCAGCCTATGTATATGATAATACAAACGTTATATTAATAAAATCGATAACATGCTTTGCATCTTGACTGTTAACATATAACAAATAGATTGGTAGATAAACTATCACTGATATAAAATATAATGTTAAAGTTGACAAAAAATTACTTTGCGTACATCCGCTCGATAAAATAAAATGATGTGTCTT